CTCTATTATTGATCATTTGACTCTCGAACATTGTTGTGCAATATCATTCAATTGTTGTATTGTTGACTTCGGTTGTCAACACTCGTCAACGTATCAAGTAAATAGTGTATGTCACAGAATAAGAATTTGATTGTAACTGTTAAGCGAAATGAGACGAAGAGAATGATAAAAAGTCATGAAGAGAACGGTATTCTCATGCAATAGCTATGAGAGTGAATACAACACGTCTGAAAAGAATGAGAATCCATTTGAAACAGTTTGATGTGAGCGTGTCACAAACAATAGCTTTCATGCAATCATAAGCAACACAATAGTCTATGAGGAAGTCCAATGATGTCGATTACCATCATGAACGTGCTAATAACATGTGCGATTTCCAATTTTAATGGGGTGAGGGTAACAGCGGTCTGCCAGACCATCAAAACGGGTAATGGAACACCTGAACGTGAGAAGCATTGATGTAGAGTATTTTGCAAATACACTGGCAATAACTATCATCCATTCATTCATGCATTCTGAAGCAAACCTACCGTTTGCGCCTGGTTTGACATAGGGAGTTGGTGTATAAATATGCGTGCCGTTCATAGTCATGAATCCACTTGGAATTTGAGAATGCGGAGGCAAGGAGGGAGCAGCAATGTTCTGATTCTGCTGGTGCGCCGCTGGCGAAATATAGCCACCTACTGCTGAGTCTGCAATGTAGCACTTACTTCAAAACAATTACAAAAAATAAAAACAATAATACATGCAATCGTACAAACTGACGAACAATATCGCATATAAACAGACAGATATATCCACAATTCGGATAAACCCTTTCTAAATGATAATGTGATACTTTAAGACCTGTCAAATGGTAATGTGATAATCCACTTAAAATTAACTGCTATATCAAGGATGTTCTATCCGGATTAAGCCTTAATCGTGCCCACAATGAGACACCTAAAAGGTGAATAATGCCATTACCTCCGGACATATCCCATTTCTTGCGAGGCCTTCGTGGCGAGTCCATTGCTGTCGGTGGAGTTGAAGACATTCCTAGATTGGGTGGTGGTCGCAGGTTAGACATCGATCTACTTGACGTATACGTATTCGACATTCCGATTCTCTTGTTCACCCCCGGCTGCTCACCTCCCTCTGTACCACCTCTTCGGCGCTGTGGTTGATCTGTGCCAACGAACATTTCGTCGTCGGAAAAATCTGCAGAAGAACACCGCAAATGAGTGCTGCCTGCATGAAAGCAAGCACATTATCAAACACAATACGGCTTCATGAATGTGTGATCACACAATGCAACATATCAATAAACCTTCTCGAATACTCCAAATAATTACCTATAAATNTGATTGATTCAAAACAATTCATGTGTTATGCTTCATCAAAATTATGCATCTGTTGCCGAAAACAGAACGAAAATCGTGAAAATATGAAACAAAATGGGGATGAGGGCAAACGTATCGAAATCAGTTAAGTAGAGATCATTCTTGAATTACCATTATCTATCTGATCTTCACAAAAATTACAACTTCTTCAGAATACGCTCCCACAAATTCGCCAAAAACAAAAAAAAATACCGTTAGCTGTCGATGCGATATCCCAAGCCGTATTCTGCTGATTCAGCAGACCACTATTCGAACGTCGCACCACTTCAGTTGCAGTACGTTTGATTTCGAAATTACTGAAAGTCACAAAAGATACTCGTGTAAATGGGCAAAGTCTTGAAATTATTGAAAATTTCCAGCGGATATGTATTCGCAAAAAATTGCCCATCTCCAGCGAAGGAGCATTCTCACGGAACTTTCGATTCACATGCTTACGGCCGCGAATCATCAGTAACAATTGTTCAACTGATCGGCCACTAGCACCACCACAATAGCAACAAAACAATACATTCAAAGAAATCATTATTTGCGTGTCACAAGAATTTTTTTGCATCCAAATGAAAATCGGAAAGCTCTGAAAAATTCCAACCAAAATTTCCAGTTTCTTATACGATTCAATCCATTTTCTCGGTTTTTCAAATTCTTTCCACGAAACGATGAGGAAAAAGAAAAAAAATCAAGATGAAACGACAAAGAATTTTAACAACGAAGATCATGACAGATGACGAGTAATCATTTCAACGCACATGCATGTAACAGTCAGGCAGCATTTCTTGATCAGTCAGTATCTTAAGCAATCCTAACACAATATCACACTATTCGATTATAAGAAGCACTGCTGATCAGTAACGATATTACACTGTACTATGTAAAATAATTAAGTGAATTCGCTTCTCCTCATTAATCACCTTGGATCCTTTTAAAAATGAACAGTAATTTGGTTGGCTCAAAAAGCGATAGAATAATACAGCTTGATAAGATCGGTTTTTAAGTACGTCAGCTAAAAATCATGATAAAGCTTGTTGACAGATTTTGATTAAGAACAATCGCATGTCATTCCAAGAAGCTGAATCACTCGAACTGATAAACATTCCGAGAAAATTGACTGACCCCGTCAATAGCAATTGTACGGTTACCAGAAATCTGCGAGAATAGAAACGTTCACAGATTAATACACTGGATGAAAGGGTGTGAGAAAGGCGTTGCAAAAATGAACACAAAAATGAACACTCTCAATATCGCGATTGACATTTTTATCAATCGAGCACGTGAATGCAAGCAAATAATAAAATGGTGGATAATATTATTATTATTATACGAAAATATCATATGCATATGTATATTATTCCATATAAATATTATATGATACGATCGGTTGGTATAAAATAAATATAATCTGAATATATTCCAAATCGAACATACACACACTGTCAATTCATATCAAATTACAAATACTGTATATTATGCCACAATCACCATTCACATTCTTTATCAACGCTAAGCATCTGTTAAAAGCGTTCCTGTCCATATTATAAATTTCATTCGTATTTTATATTCAAAACAAACGTACATTTTACAAAACACATTTGTATCATTTCTCCATGCTAAGAGATATATTAAAAAATTGTTATCTGATCACGTATCATTACGTTATCACTCATTTTGAACGTGTTTTCATATCAGATTACATACCTAAACATGTAACAAACTTTTTTCCTCAATATTCTAATGAATGAGCCGCATAAGCCATATCAATACTATGAATCATATCGGATGCATACTACCACTTAATCTTAGATCAAACAGTGTCTGTAGTTGTTAGAAGTTGGATAGTAAACGATTTTAATCAATGAAAGATTTCAGAATTCTAATGAAGAGAAAAAACTAAGGGAATAAGAACGAGGTCACAAAAATCATCATAAGAATACAATAATGCTAAG